CCTGAGAAGGAAGGTGGGGAGGCTAACGCAGCTGCAGCATGGCAACCTGCTGAGCCTTGGGACTGGCTGATGGTCTCCTTCCTGTCTCCCGGCTCCTTGAAGGAATCTGCATGTTGAGCTCCAGAGGGCTATCTTCTCGGATACATTTTTTTCTAGACAAACAGAATTTAGAGGGTTAAATTTTTTTTCTTCCTTGAAAGAAACCAATCTGAAAAGGCTATATACTGTATGATTCCAACTACATGATATTCTGGAAAAAGCAAAACTCTGGAGACAGTAAAAGGATCAGTGGTTGCCAGGGATTAAGGGGGAGAGAAGGATGAACAGGGTGAAAACAGAGCGTTTTCAGGGCAGTGAATCTATTCCAAGTGATACTGTAGCAGTGGATACGTATCATTATACACTTGTCAAAATCCATAGAATGTACACCACCAAGAGTGAACCACAACATAAACTATGGACTTTGGGTGATAATGATGGGTCAGTGTTATAAAGTTCATTGATGGTAACAAATGTACCACTCTGGTGTGGAGTGTTGACAGTGGGGTAGCTGTACATGTGTGGGGATATCTGGGAACTGTCTGTATTTTCCATTCAAGTTTTCAGTGAACCTGAAAATGGTTCCCCCAAAAAACCAAAGTCTATTAAAAAAAATTGCTCTAAGGGAAAATATCTTACCCTCCCTAAAATAAAAGTTGCAGAGACTCAGGTGATATTTATAATAACTATTGCAAGTGCTAAGTAACCAACTTAATTTGGTTCCAAAGTGGTCTGATTCCCTTTGCTCATATTAAAATTCTGAGTCCTATTGAAAGCAAACAGCAGCTCAGCATTATGTCTGATGACGAAGGGACCCATGTAAGTGGCTGAGTTGTGAAAGCAAACCCAGGAACCCTAAAGACAGTAACTTGTATCACGTGTTGACCATTTACTTTCTATCGGCCTCCAAGATAGACATTCACACACACTCTTCTCTTCGTAACAAACATGTGTAGTAAATACCATTCTATAGTGGAAGAAACTAAAGCTCCAAAAGGTGAAGTGACTCTCCTGAGGTCCCACAACTAAGCAGAACAAAATGAATTCAGTCTGACACCAAGGTCAGCATTTTTTCAACTGTGCTGTGTGCCTCACTCCACGTTTACCTATGCTTTTATACCAGATGATCTCTGCAACAATAATAAGATAGGGTGCTGCCTGTGACCCTGCGGAGTCAGCAGCATCATCACCCCCATTTTCTAACAAGAGCCCAAGTCGCAAAGTCAGATGGCTATGAAGTGGTGGAGCGCTGATTCAGACCCAGGGAATCCGGCTCCTGAGTCCACGTGCTTACTCATCACCTCACACAGCCATCAATGTCACCAGTGCCATCCATCGTTAACAGTGTCAGTGCTACCTACCAAGGGCAGGCTGGGAGAGAAACACGCTCCATGGGGCCTGAACCAGCTGTTTATAACTGACACTTACCATACCTGCCGCACATCGACAAGCCCTGTGTCATCAGACCATGCAAATCACACGCCCGTCTCCTCCCTCTGTAAGCTTCTCAACTTCATGTATTATTTTTACTTACAGATTGAAGGACTCAACCAGCGGTAGCTTTCCCACTCCCCCCTCTGCTTTAGTCCAATGGCTGATTCTCTGGCAGACAGAATTACTTCACATGGAGTGACATGGAGAAAAGGAATTTTTTGTTTCATTTACAGATATTGTTTCTTGGACACTTAGGCAAAAATAGTTTAAGAAAACATTTATCTGAAAACAAGCAAAACTAAACAATATATTAAGATACACAGATATCTGGTAAAACCTTAACTTGTAAAAAGCAACAGAATGATCATTCAGGATACGTTTCCTTTAGGGGGAGGCCAGTGAAGGGCCAGGTGGGGAGTGGGGTAGGTGCCAGGTACCTCCAGTGGTACCAAGAACACAGGCCATACATACACTGGAGAGCAGGTGCATGGGTATTCATGTAATTATCAGACTTTTTTTGACTATTACAAAGGTTTTTTTTTTACTATTACAAAAGGTTTTTTTTTACTATTACAAAATGTTTTTATTTATTAGACTTTCAAAATCAGAAATGCACATGTGTATATAACTTTCCGAGTATCGAGTATTACATAATAAGAAGGAAAAAAGTCCAAGGAGGCTAAGCTACTCTAAAGTACCTAAGGGTATTTGTGTGTTCCATCCTGAAGAAGCCGTTATCTCCAGAACCCCCATCTCTCCATCGTCAGATGTGTCTGATCCTTCCTTCAGAGGGCGCACGGCTACAGCCGAGCCCACGCTCATGAGTCAGTCAAAGCACTGCGGTTGGCCTTAACAATCATTTTTCTCCTACAATCCTCAAACTAATAATCCTGCTTTCCCATCTAACACAGCTCTAGGTGAAAAGGGGTTGCAACTGAAGTAAACTCCTTTTCTGTCCAAAGTGCAAGAGTTAAAGGGGGTATATATATTACAAGGGGAAACAAGACAATTTCTTAGCCTGCTCCTGAGCGCAGGCTAGAACTCACGGAGATTGAGGGAAATGCCTGGAGAGAGATTCTTGACTGATACAAAGGGTCGTAGGAGGAGCTCACACCTGTTCCGGGAGCTAGGCTGGGCAGCTGAACAGAACCACATGTGTAGCTGCTGCCCCTGAGAAGGGGCCGGGAGGAGGCGTTGAGCTGACAGGTAAAAGCAGCGGAGGGGAGCAATCTTTTTGGCATGGGTTCAAGTCCAAGCCCAGCCCCGTGAAACTCGTACAACACCGCTATACTTCTGTTTTCTCAGTTCTAGAATGTGGATAATAAAAGCACCTCCCAGGATCAGTATTTGCAAGAGGTGATGGATGGAAACTACTTAGACCCAGTCATGGCACACAGTGAGCATTCAATAAATGGTATTTAGCAGCACTATTACGTGTACTGACCCGAAATGATGCCTAATATACATTAAGTTAAAGGAAAAAGTCAGTATACAATATACATAGAATGCTATCATTGGTAGGGAGAAATACATATAAATCTATATATATATGTGTCTCTGTATGTTTATAGATGTATATCACAAGATATATGAATACTGCCTACATAAGAAACTGGTTAACAGTGGTTGTTTCTGTGTATCTGTGTTTTTTGTTTGTTTTTTTTGTTTGTTTTTTTTGTTGTTGTTGTTGTTGACTTTTTTTAATGTTTTGTTCAGAATTTGTACATTCAAGTTGCACTTGTTATACCTGACATGAATGAAATAAAAATCTTAATTACAGATACTTTTTTTTTTACGTATGTATGATTTTTGAGAAAGTTTGTCAAACAGGAGGGGCAAATGAGAACAGCAGCAATATCAAACATGTGGGCATTAGAGAGCTGTGGGGATGCATCTGTAGGATTCACAGTTGTTTGTCAAACTATGTCCCAGATGATGTGAAGAGCATCAAAAAACTAGGAATCAGGGATAGAAGAGACTGGCTTTTCTTTATATATCCTACCCTTCCAATTTTCTATCGATTACATCCGTTACCTATTTCTAAAAGTCATTAAAATTAACTGACCTCTTTTTAAAAAAGAAAACAATAAGCCGGGTGGACAGCAGTATAAATGAGTAGGAGGGAATGGTGATAAGATGCCGTGTGCTGGACCTATAAGGTCCAGCAACTAACAGTGT